TATCTCTGGTTATCTTAGTCGTTTTTCATGATTTTTGTTTCCTTGTGCGTGATTCTTCGCGCTTGTACTTTTCGGCATGATAGAAGCCGATGAAAATGTCTTGTTCTCTTGTGTTGTTTTGCGTGCCGTCGTGATTTTGATGTCGGGGTTGCACAGCTTTGCTTTCAGCTCTGAGGTTCAAACACCTAATTTATTATTACACGGGCATGACGGTCTTGGGAACGCCGATTGGCCGTCGCGAGTGGATGAAGAAGCAGCTGAACGACAAGGCAAAGCACATTGCTGGCAAGCTCAATGACATGCTGACGACCGGTGTCTCGCTTCAGGCCCTCCTCACGGCCATGCAGTACGTGCCTAGCCTCATCAACCACCTCTACACGCTGCCCCCAAGTCTCACGTCGGGCTTGTCCGAGCTCTTGAACCGTGCTTGCAAGGACACCTTTGTCAAAGCCTTTTTTGCCAAGGTAAACCTGTCTGCACCGGCTGGAGCTGAAGGTCATGACGTTACGCTGGAACAGCTCCTTGAGGCTCGCCTCTTCACACGGGCCAACACCGGGGGCTTTGGCCTGCACGACTTGGTTGAGCGCGGTCCGGTGGCTTATGTCTGCAACATGGCCAAGCTGGCCATTCACTACCCTCGGGTCTACGATCGACTTTTGGAGGATGAATCGAGGGCTGCTGACTTTGAGGCCCACGTGCAGCGAGCCGGCTTCCAGATGGCCACGGTCAAGGATGCGGCGACTCAGCGACCAGCTGAGATCATTGCCCTCCGCTCCAAGGCGGCACTGGACGACCTGATGGCCAAGTGCGCGCTGGACCTGCAGCAGGCATATCTGGCCTCACGTGAGTGGGGCGTCAGCACTGTCTTGACCATGCGGGGTCGGGACAAGTTGCGTCGCTTGAGCGACACGACCTTTGCCATTGCGGTCGTGTCCATGATGGGTTTTGGCCTCCATGAACTCATCAATGTCAAGCCGACGGACAAGTGCCCTCTCTGCAGCAGCAAGACACCTCAGCCGCGACTGACCCGCGAGCACCTGCTGACCTGCCGTCCCATCAAGCGACACAACGCCCTTCGCGACGAGATGGGCCGCCTGCTCAGGTACGCCACCCTCTCCCATGTCTGGGTGGAAAAGTCTGGCTACAACGCCAACGGTCAGAGCTGCCGCATCGACCTGCACTGCCGCAACCCCTTT